GGGGCTCAGGGCAGAGCCAGAAGCGCTGGTCCCTGGGGTGCTCGAGCCCGGCTCCAGGTTCCCAGGGGCGCTCCCATCCGAGGAATGTGCTCCCCTCAGACCTGGGTGGCATCGGGCCCTTCCCGCAGGGTCCCCAACTGTGACAAACATAGTGGGAACGTGACTTCAGCCCACTGTCCAGGGGGGGCAAGGGGAGGTAGGGAGAGGTTACGGAAGCTCTGCAGGGTCTGGCTTATTCGGGGACCCCCACAGTGTCCCCCACTTTGACGCCCTGCCTTGCTACACTGCCCGTTAAGGTGCAGGGTCTGTGCTCCTGGGACTGGCTGGTACTGACTAGTACTGGCTGGTACTGGCTGGTACTGGCTGGTACTGACTGGTGTGCTCCAATACTGTCTGATAATGATTGGTACTGGCTGGTACTGACCCGGACTGGTTGGTACTGATAGCTATGGTCCTGATTCTGGCTGGTACTGGCTGGTACTGGCTAGTATTGGCTGGTACTGGTTGGTACTGACTAGTACTGGCTGGTACTGATTGGTGTGCTCCTGGTACCAATAGTACTGTCTGGTACTGACGAGTACTGGCTGGTACTGGCTGGTACTGACAAGTACTGGCTGGTACTGGCTGGTACTGACTGGTACTGACTGGTGTGCTCCTGGTACTGGCTGGTACTGACAAGTACTGGCTGGTACTTGCTGTTGTGTTCCCGGTACTGATAGTACTGGCTGGCACTGACTGGTGTGCTCCTGGTACTGGCTGGTACTGACTGGTACTGACTGGTACTGACAGGTGTGCTGCTGGTACTGACTAGTACTGGCTGGTACTGATTGGTGTGCTCCTGGTACCGATAGTACTGGCTGGCACTGACGAGTACTGGCTGGTACTGACTGGTACTGGCTGGTGCGCTCCTGGTACTGGCTGGGACTGAGTTTGGACTGCAGAGGGAAGCCCCCCACCCCAACTGTCCGGATCTCCAGCAGGAGGGCTCCCAGGGGCGGCTGGTCCTGACGCCCCTCTGTCCTTGAGGGGCTGCCGCTGGGGCTCCCCCTGCCAACCAGCCCAGCGACACAGCACCCCGGCCTGCCAGGGCAGCGCTCCCGGGGGCGCAGACGTCCCTGGAAGGGGTGGGCGAGTGGGTGGGCTAATGATGAGAAAGGCCCCTCCACTGGCTCCTTAATTAGATGCATGGAGCGCGCACATCTGGTTTCAATCTGCGGCCTTTGATGGCATCAAATGTGCTTCTTCCAGACCAGCTGCGAGCGAGTCTGGGCTACGTGGGCCCGTGTGGAGCCCAGAACGCGTCCGCGAGGACCCTCCTTCCCCGGGCCAGCGTGGGGGACAGAGCCAGGGGAGAGGCGAGCGGCTGGCCCCCGGGCAGTGCGTCTCCCAGCAAGGCAAAGGCTGCCAACAGGCACTTCCTGGGCTCTTCCTCCCGTCCACTCACTGGGACCCCCAGTCCCCACCTCCGCCCGGGGCCACCTTGGCCCCATCTCTGCAGACCCAGGACACAGCAGAGCGCATGCAGGGTGGGGAGGGGGGCGCTCGCCCCTTGCCCCCCTACGTGATCATCCAAGCATCTCCCTGGTGACCCACCCTCCCCTCTCCGGCTACCTTGGCCGCCCCCAGACTGGACGGAATTGATGGGGGCGGGGCTGGGCGCCACCAGGGCCTTCCCTGCTGCTAAACAAATACCAATTCTCTGCAGGGACCGCAGGAGCCAGCTGGGGTCTCCGGCCTCCCCCCCCCCCCACCTCCCTCCAATCCTGGAGCTTCCCCTGAGACGGGCCGGACCCCTGCACCCCAACTAATTTCATGGGTTTCTTCTCCAGAGGCTCTTGAAAGCCCAGGACAGCCCCAATCTGGGTGCGGCGTGAGGGGACCTCAGCCTCCCTGGCTCTCAGACAAAGCCCACCCCAGACCCTCAGAGCCGCAGGAAATGTTGAAACACACCCCCACACTCACATACCTTCCCACACGTTCCCACAGACACACACGCATGTGCTCCCATGGGCACGCACACACACACACACACACTCCATGGGCACACATCCCCCCACATGCACTCCCATGCATGCACACACACACACTCACACACTCACACACATTCACACACACATTCACTCCATGAGCGCACACATACTCACACACTCTCCCACACTCACACACATTCCCACACATTCCCATGCTCACACACACACACACACACTCTCTCATACAAATACACTCACACACTCTCACACCCATACACATTCTCACACACTCACACAAACACATTCCCACACATTCCCATGCTCACACAACACACTCACACACTCTCACACACACTGTCACTCTCACACACATACTCTCACACTCTCACTCTAACACACTAACGCACTCTCTTGCACTTACACTCACACACTCACACTCTCTCACACACTTTCACACACTCTCTCACACACTTTCACACACACTCTCACACACTCACACACACTCACACACTCACAACTTTCACACACACTCTCTCATACACTCTAATACACTCTCTCATAGACACACTCACACACTCACACACTCACACACTCTCACACAAATACATTCCCTTGCTCACACAACACACTCACACACTCTCACACACAGTCACTCTTACACACATACTCTCACACTCTCACTCTAACACACTCTTACACTCACACTCTCACACACTCTCTCACACACTTTCACACACTCTCTCTCACACATTCACACACTCTCACACACTCACACTCTCACACACTCTAATACACTCTCTCATAGACACACTCACACACTCACACACACTCACACACTCTCACACACACTCACACACTCTCTCACACACACTCTCTCATACCCATACACACATTCTTACACACTCTCACACACATTCACACACATACACACTCTCTCAAACACACGCTCACACACTCTTGCACACAATCACACTTTCACACACATACACACACTCACACACACTCACACACACTCTCACACACACTCACATACTCTCTCACACACACTCTCTCATACCCATACACACATTCTTACACACTCTCACACACATTCACACACATACACACTCTCTCAAACACACGCTCACACACTCTTGCACACAATCACACTTTCACACACATACACACACTCACACACACTCTCACACACACTCACATACTCTCTCACACACACTCTCTCATACCCATACACACATTCTTACACACTCTCACACACATACACACTCTCTCAAACACACCCTCACACACTCTCTCACACACTCACACACTCTTGCACACACTCACACACTCTCACCCACACTCTCTCTCTCTCTCTCTCTCTCTCTCTCTCACACACACACACACACACACAGGACGCAGAGGGCCCGTTTGTGACCGCGCGATGTTGAGTCCCGGGTTTTGCTCGCAATCATGTGTCCAAGGCTAGTCCCCAACCACACTTGCCCTGCCCGCAGCCGTCATCCAAGCAGGCAAATGAAACTTCCACCCCCACCCGAAAGTTGAAGCAACGCCACCCGCCTGCCCGCCCGCCCGCCGGCCGCGGAGGAGTTAGTGGAGGAGTTAAGGGGCAAAGCCAAATAATCGTCAGCGCGTTTGAAGCGTTTGGGTCTCCTGCAAATCTTTTCTCGCCCATCGGATGGCAGGGAATGACAGTTAGACCTTTGCAGGACAAGTCCAGAGGGGCTGGGCTCCCTCTTCCCTTCTTCCCTTCCTCCTCCCCCTCCCTGGCTCCCTCCCTCCTCTCTCCCTCTCTCTCTCTCCCTCTCTCTCTCTCTCTCTCTCTGACATTGGCAGGAGGGGGTTTTCTTAATCAGGCTGCTTTTCTGGCCGAGGCAGAGGAGGAAGAAGGAAGCCGAGATGGGGCAGGGGGTTCTGTAGAACGTCAGGCTGGCACAAAGGCTCCCGGCTGGTAATTACAGGCTCCTATTAACTGGCGACCTGCCTTCCCAGGGGGCCCCAATTTTCTTGTACTCCCCACAAAGCCGCCTCTGCAGCCTGTGTGCGCCTTTTGAAGTGCCCCGAGAACTTCTTGATCCGGCTGAGAAGGGGGGAAAGGAGCCCGGGAGACGCAGGGGTGAGTAAGGAGAAAGGCTCAGAGCAGCTCCGCTGCCCTCCTTCCTTCCTTGGACGCTCGAACGCCCCCCCCCACTCCCGCCCTGCCCGCCACCCCCCCCCCCCTTTTAACTCCTTAGGAGAGTAAAGTGAGAATCTGGCTCTGCTGTACATCTGCAAGCCATCACCCACTCTTGAAACTTTAGTCGCCGGCAGACGGGGACTCGGCAGGAGTGCCCGGGCGGGACCCGCTGCTTGCTTTCGGGAAGATGTTTCAAAGCTGGAAGCCGTCTTCTGTTGGTGCTTGAACTCCTGCCTCCTCGGAATAACTCTTTTTTAAAACTTTACCCCCGAAAAAAGAAAAAGGAAAGAAAAAGAGAGAAAGGAGAGAGAGAAAGAAAGAAAGAAAGAAAGAAAGAAAAAAAGCCACTTTCTCTTCTTCACCCCTGCTTCTCCTCTTTTTCCGTTCGCTCCACTCCTCCTCCGAACTTGTCTCCGCTTTCACTATTATTATTATTATTGTTTTTGTTGTTATTGTTATTGTCAGTTTGAGTGCACTCAGGGAAGGGCTGCGTTGGGTCTCTTTTTTTCCTTTCTTTTTTTTTCCTGTTGTTTGGTCACCCGCCCCCCCGCCACCCTCACCCCCCACTCTTTCTTAACCGGCACCCAGGAACTTTTCTTTTTATTTGGGGGGTGTGGATCATCTCTTTGGACCGTGCACGGGGGACTTGGCCTCGGGAAGGCCACCTCACTGCTCCAGCGAAGCTGCGAAAGAGGGTCCCCCGCCCTTTTTGGGCTATCTCCTCCTCTCTCTCCCCCTCTCCCTCTCGCTCTCCCTCTCTCCCTCTCCCTCTCCCTCTCTCCACTCCCCCTCTCCGGCTCCTGGCTCTCCCCCCTGGCGCCCACAGCGTTTGGTGGCGTTGATTCCAGCGGGCCGAGGGGGCGGGTGGGAACACCATGACCTCCAGTTACGGACACGTCCTGGAGCGGCAGCCGACGCTGGGCGGCCGCCTGGACAGTCCCGGCCACAACCTGGACACGCTGCAGGCCAAGAAGAACTTCTCCGTGAGTCACCTGCTGGACCTGGAGGAGGCCGGGGGCATGGTGGCGGCGCAGACGGACGAGAGCGCGGGCGAGGCGGGCCGCGGGCTGCTGGAGTCGCCGGGGCTGACCAGCGGCAGCGACACGCCGCAGCAGGACAGTGAGTGCGGGGCGCGGGGGAGTGGCCGCCGAGGAGGCCAAAGAGGGGGGTCCCCGCCGAGCGAGCCACCCGGGGACCCCGGGATCCCGGGACCCTCCGCCCCGCGCGCGCGCGCGCGCGCGCACCGCGCGCCCCTCGGACGCGCCCAGGGCGCAAACGGGAAAAAGGTTGGGCCGGGCCGGGCCGGCGGGCGGGCGGGCAGGGCCGGGTTCGGGGGTCAGCCTGGAGCCCCCCTGCGATGCCTCCACCTGCAGCGGCGGCGTGGGGGACCCCTGATAAGGTCAGAGCCCTCCCCCCGGAGCTCTGGGAGACGCGGGCAAAGTCAGTTGAGCGGTTGTTTAGGGGAGGTTGTTTGGGGGATGAGAGCGAGTCCCCCATCCGTAGGGTCCCCGCTGACCCCCAGAGCTGACAAAGCCCAGCTGACGCTGCCACCCGTGCCCCATCCTCCCTGGCAACCTTCCCTGGTCTGTCTGTCACCCATCTGTCACCAGGCCCGGCGGGTGTCCTCCGTCCTCCCAGGGGAGGCAGTGAGAAGGCTGGGTCTCCTGTCGCTGTTTAAGTGTCCTCAGACTACTTGGGAGCTGGGAATGGGGGACCCCCTCGCTGGCAGCTCTAGTGTTCAAAACAGCCTCTGCCCACCTCAGACCAGGAAACAGCCAGATGAGCAAACTGCACCCCCAAACCGGTGGGTGGGAGTGCGTCTGTAGGAACACATCTGCCGCTGGGTTAGCTCAGGCCGGGACTCGGCTCTGGTCAGGCCCAGGGCGCCTCTCTCAGCATCGCTCACTCCATTCCCGGAGCACCAGCGAAAGAGTGGGAGTCCCTAACTTCAGAGGGTGAGAAGCAGCTCCCCCGAGGGGCTCATGTCCCGAACTCAGAGGCACCCACACTTTGATGGTCTTTCATTTGGGTTCGCTTTGGGGGGCTACACCCGGCGGCGCTAGGGGCTTCACTCCTGACTGCGCTGCTCGGGGCTCATTCCTGGCGGGGGCTCGGGGGTCCCATATGGGGTGTTGGGGGTTCCATCCTGGGTCTGCTGCATGCCAGGCAGGCGCTCTGCCCGCTGCGCGATCACTCTGGCCCCAGGACCCTCACTTTGAGTGCCGACACAAAGCACAGATGAAACCCAGGGTTTTAAAAAAAAATAAATGAATAATAAGTTTCACTGGGGGAAAAAATAGAAGCTGGAGGAGACCAGTTCTGACCTGTCACTCATTCCACCTGGTGGCTACTCGCTTTCAAATCGCTCTGGAGGAGGCTGGGATGCGGGTTTGACCAATATTACCACCGGGGACAGGAGCCCCAGCCAAAGCCGAGACTGTCTGGGTCTTGTGGCTCCCAGTGGGGGTACAGGAAGAGTTGGGACCGCGGAGGTCAGTGACAGAGCCCCAGGGCCTGCCTCTCTGGCACCCCGGGATGCTGAGGGACACAGGCATAGCGGAGGGACCACTGGCAGTGGGCCCCCGGTGTCTGGAAGGGAAAGGGCTAAAATCACGTAGATCCCATCCCATCCTGCCTGAGAATCATCCTTTGAGGATGGCTAGGGTGGGGGTCCCGGTGAAAAGCACTGGAGGTCCGCCGGCATTCCCAACCTGGTTCTCAGGCCAGCCGGAGGCTAGCCAGAGCAGAGTGGACCCTGGAGAAAAACAGGCCAGACCCTGTGGCGGGATGGGGACTCAGACGCCTGGGGCAGGGGCGGAGAGTGAGCAGGCCAGTACCGCAGGCCTGGCTATCAGCTTCTGGAACCCTCCTGTCCCAAACCTGGGAGGGGATGGAGAACTGGGGGGGGCTCTAGCAAGCTTCTGGCACCCCCAACTCCGCTGCACGGAGGATTCTGGAGCTATTTGTAAGACCCGTGGGCATCCCTCACACAGACGGATTTAACTCCAGGCCACACGGGCAGGAATGGTCCAGTTAGTTCAGCTAGAGGCTGGGCAGAGAGAAAAAGCAGCGGGTACTTGGGTACTCCTGGCTCAACCCAGGGAACTGCAATGAGTCCCGCTGATGAAACTGACCGGGAGCACAGAGCCAGGGGTGAGCCCTGAAGAGTGTTTGGTGTGGCCCCCAAAACAGAACCAGTTTCGCCCTCTGCAGCTGCTGAGAGCCTAGAAAGAAACAGACCGTCTCGGGGTGTGATGGACAAATATATATTTTTAAAATACTTTTGACCTGGCTTTCTAGAAACAGGATTTTGCTGAGCATTTTTTTTCTTCTCTTAGTGGGGGAGACGGAAATTAATAAACAGATTCCACTTAGACGCGCAATATTAACTCTTGTAATATGCCAGAACTCGGAGTTTTAAGGCCAGCCGTGGCTTGGATATTCCCCGCTGCTTTCTCCTCTGCAAAAAGATTTCTTCTCTCTCTCACTAACTCACCCAGTTCCAGCGAATTTTCTCAAACGCTTTTGGGTTCGATTCGGTGTTTGCAAAAGAGGCCTTTGCGGGGAGAGTGTTTCAAATCGAATTCAAAGGCGGGTGGGGAAGAACGGTTTTTTGGGTGGGGAGCGGGGCATTTGGAGGAGAAACGGGTCATTAAAAAAAAAAAACGGGCAGACATGCCCCTGGGGGCTGCCTCTACCCAACTGTCATTTCTCAATGGGAACTTCAGCTTGCTGTAACACACACACACACACACACACACACACACACACACACACACACACACACACACGCCTTCCACGTTCCCAACCTCTAAATTAGTGAAACCAGATTGTCCTAATAAGACCTTTTGTTGGAAACACATGTACTCATAAAAAGGTAGACGGAAAAGTCAATTAGACACGCGCGCGCGCGCGCCGGCGCACACTGGCTCCTGGGCGCGCAGCTGGGCCCCGGGGCGGGCGCCCAATCGCGCGCGGGGCAATCGATTGGTCACAAAGCGCGTGAGAGGTGTCAGTGCCCACCTGGGGGCCCCTCACCCCGCGCCCCAAGCCCCGCCACGCGCTCCGATTCCCGCAGCAGGGCGCGCGCCTGTTGCCCCAGCGCGCGCACCCGTACCCGGGATTCAGCATCCTTCAGCCCTAAGAGACACCGGTCCCCAGCGGTCCCCGGGGACCCTGCAGGTACTACGGAGTGGATTCCAGCCCGATGGCACCGTAGCCCAGACATAGACCCATTCAAGGGGCGCCCGAAACACTTTCCTCTCCTCTTCTTCCTCCTTCCCCTCTTTCTCCTTCACCTCCCCTCCTCCTCCTCTTCCTCCTCCTCCTCCTCTTCGTCCTCCTCCTCCTCCTTCTCTTCTCCTCCTCGTCCTTCTCCTCCTCCTCGTCCTCTTCTTTCTTCTCTTCTCCTCCTTATTAATTTTTGTGTTTAAGTCACACGTGGCCGCGCGCAATTGCTTATATTCCGAGGGTCCCTTCCCAGGGGCGCTCAGAGTCCCACGCTGCACAAACGCCCTTTAAGTCATGCCCTGGGCCCGTTTTTTTTTTTTTTTTTAAAGAAGGCCTTGAAATTCAAGGTCAAAGGAGGCCCTAGAATCCCCCCCAAAGTGGAATGTCAAGGCCGTCGGGAAGGAATGGTCAATCCTACTTATCTTCCACGCGGAGGTCCCGGGACGCTGGGCGCGCACGCATCCCACTTCGCACTGCTTGGAGGTGGGGGATAGGGGACCTGCTGCTTTGCAGGCTAACGGGGCAGGGGGCGGGCAGTGAGTGGCCTTGCAGGGGTGTCCCAATACTCCCACGGCTGCAGGTCCCCACTCCAGAGACCCAGGCGCGGCTTGGATGCGACCCGGTGATCGGCGCTGCTGGCGAGGGGGAACCCCAGCTCGGCAGGTCACTGCGTGGAGGGTCACTGAACCCCGCGTGTCCCTCCCTCTTCTTCCCAGGGGCGTCGCTTGAGATTTTCCAACCCCGGGGAATAATAAATCGCCTCCACCACGCTGGCGCTCGATCCCCCCAAAGACAAAAAAAACCTTCGGAAAACCAAAGTAAAAAAATTTGAAGCAATGGGCCCAGGGTCGCGCACCGCAGACTCACCTTCTTTTGCATTTTAATGGCCTCTGCTGATTTTCAACAACGAACCCCCTGGATGCATGGTGGGGTTTTATTTTAGATGTTGATTCCTTTCTCCAAACTCCCCACTCTGCATCCGACCAGACCCCTGGCTAGTCCTACGGAACTGGTAGGGTCCCCAATGCCTCGCCTCAGGGTCTTTCAAATCTGCCCCCGTTGGGGCAGGCCAGAAGACCCCTGTCTGTCCCGGGGTTCCAGATGCTGCCTCCTCCCCTCGGGGTGCTGGGGGAAAACACGTATTCTGCCCGAGAGACCCGGCTGAGCAGGCATCGAGGAGGTACAAGTCTTAGCAACCGAGGGGCTATTTGTACAAGATGGTGATGGGGGGGTGGGAGGGTCTGAGTTTTGCTTCCTTTTAATTCTGGGGGAGGGCACGTTGGTTTGTTTTAGTTTTTATTTATTTGTTTAACTTTTTAAAAAATGAATCACCTTGAGATAGACCCTTATAAAGCTGTTCAAGTGCGAATTTTAGTCACACAGTGTTCCAGTACCCATCCCTCCGCCAGGGACCCCTGGTTCCCTCCCATCACCCCTCACCCCCAGCCTGCCTTTATGGCAGGCGTTTTCTCTCTCTCTCTCTCTCTCTCTCTCTCTCTCTCTCTCTCTCTCTCTCTCTCATTGTGGTTTGCAATATTGACAAATGAAAGGTTATCAGGACTATCCCTTCCCTGCTTTGAACCCTCAAATCTTGTCCAGGATTGGTTTGTTTTCTTTTCATCTCATTCCCAGAAGAAAAATTAAACCGCAGGGGGTGAGCTCGGCGTCTTCTAGCCAAACCCTTTGTAAATGGGCTCAAGAGGAGAAACAGAAGCAGGGAGCAGTTGATCTCAGCGGTCCCGGGGCTGACTGTCTGCGTGGCCACTTGGCGTTCCAACACATTTCCAGAACCCTCTGTGAGCACCGGCCACTGAGACGCTTGCTCGCAATGTGTTCAATCCGTTTTCATTTCCTGCGGGTGGGCTGGGATCCCTTCCTTGGGTGCCCTC